AGGAAGGTCTGGCAATTAGCAGCCACTTAAGATCCCTTTTCTTCTCCAGCAATGGCACCTGCCCAGGGCCAGCCATAGGCTTGTTCTTAATTCGGGTTAGCTAACTCTTTTTTTCTTTAACTTTTTTTGCCTCTGTTTTCACTAACAAGGTCAGCTCCCAGACTGCTACGCTGGGCATCACAAAATGGGGAAGAGATGGCCAGCCCTCTGTGGAGATAGAGGTGGTTAGGGACTTTTTAGAAAAGCTGGATGTGCACAAGTCCATGGGGCCGGACGAGTTGCACCCGAGAGTGCTGAAGGAACTGGCGGCTGTGATTGCAGAGCCATTGGCCATTATCTTTGAAAACTCGTGGCGAACCGGGGAAGTCCCGGATGACTGGAAAAAGGCTAATGTAGTGCCAATCTTTAAAAAAAGGGAAGAAGGAGGATCCTGGGAACTACAGGCCAGTCAGCCTCACTTCAGTCCCTGGAAAAATCATGGAGCAGGTCCTCAAAGAATCAATCCTGAAGCACTTACATGAGAGGAAAGTGATCAGGAACAGCCAGCATGGATTCACCAAGGGAAGGTCATGCCTGACTAATCTAATTGCCTTCTATGATGAGATTACTGGTTCTGTGGATGAAGGGAAAGCAGTGGATGTATTGTTTCTTGACTTTAGCAAAGCTTTTGACACGGTCTCCCACAGTATTCTTGTCAGCAAGTTAAGGAAGTATGGGCTGGATGAATGCACTACAAGGTGGGTAGAAAGCTGGCTAGATTGTCGGGCTCAACGGGTAGTGATCAATGGCTCCATGTCTAGTTGGCAGCCGGTATCAAGTGGTGTGCCCCAAGGGTCGGTCCTGGGGCCGGTTTTGTTCAATATCTTCATAAATGATCTGGAGGATGGTGTGGATTGCACTCTCAGCAAATTTGCGGATGATACTAAACTGGGAGGAGTGGTAGATACGCTGGAGGGGAGGGATAGGATACAGAAGGACCTAGACAAATTGGAGGATTGGGCCAAAAGAAATCTGATGAGGTTCAATAAGGATAAGTGCAGGGTCCTGCACTTAGGACGGAAGAACCCAATGCACAGCTACAGACTAGGGACCGAATGTCTAGGCAGCAGTTCTGCGGAAAAGGACCTAGGGGTGACAGTGGACGAGAAGCTGGATATGAGTCAGCAGTGTGCCCTTGTTGCCAAGAAGGCCAATGGCATTTTGGGATGTATAAGTAGGGGCATAGCGAGCAGATCGAGGGACGTGATCGTTCCCCTCTATTCGACATTGGTGAGGCCTCATCTGGAGTACTGTGTCCAGTTTTGGGCCCCACACTTCAAGAAGGATGTGGATAAATTGGAGAGAGTCCAGCGAAGGGCAACAAAAATGATTAGGGGTCTGGAACATATGAGTTATGAGGAGAGGCTGAGGGAGCTGGGATTGTTTAGCCTGCAGAAGAGAAGAATGAGGGGGATTTGATAGCTGTTTTCAACTACCTGAAAGGGGGTTCCAAAGAGGATGGCTCTAGACTGTTCTCAATGGTAGGAGATGACAGAACGAGGAGTAATGGTCTCAAGTTACAGTGGGGGAGGTTTAGATTGGATATTAGGAAAAACTTTTTCACTAAGAGGGTAGTGAAACACTGGAATGCGTTACCTAGGGAGGTGGTAGAATCTCCTTCCTTAGAGGTTTTTAAGGTCAGGCTTGACAAAGCCCTGGCTGGGATGATTTAACTGGGAATTGGTCCTGCTTTGAGCAGGGGGTTGGACTAGATGACCTTCTGGGGTCCCTTCCAACCCTTATATTCTATGATTCTATGATTCTATGAACTCAGGTTAAAATAGCAGTGAAAACACTGCAACTTGCCCTTTAACTCTGGTTAGCTGCTCAAGCTGCCAACCCAAATTGCAGTGTCTTCACTGCTGTTTTATCTGAGTTAACTAACACAGGTTAGCTAATCTGAGTTAAGAATACACCTTTTTTTGTAGTGTAAAAATACCCAATGAAGCTACTCCAAGCTTAACAAGTACGCAAGGCAGAGGAGAATCAGGTCCAATGTCTCACGTCCCTGTGTGAGAATGGCTGAAGCAAAGTCAGGATTTCAGCTCTAAGCCAGCAGAGCTCATTCTGTCTCTCGTACAGAGGTCCCCAAACTGTGGGGGTGTGCCCCCCTGGGGGGCATGGCAGGGCCTAGGCCACCCCCAGCTCTGCTCTGGTCCCGCCTACAGCCACGTCCCTGGCTCTCGGCCCCACACCTGTCACTGTCCCCGTCCCCAGCCTCGGCGTGGCTCCACTTCTGGCCCTGCACCAGCCGCGGCCCCAGCCCCAACGCCCAGCTGCGGCCCCAGCCTCAACCCCCTTATCCCTGTCCGCTTTCCCCCTCCTTCCACGGAGCTGTGGCCCTGATCCTGCCCTGGCTCCGGGGAGGTGTGACCCTCAAAAGTTTGGGGACTGCTGTTCTAGTGAAGCATCCGAAAACCCAGAAGGCTGGAAGCTTGACTGGGCTGCAACTGGGGAAGAAGGAGAGTTACATTGCACAAAACCTATCGCTACCTTTTAATGTGTCCCTGTTTATTGAGGAGCACTTCCAATATAATTAAATTTTTAGCCAGTTTACACACATCTGTGGATATTAAACATTCATAATGGATTTCCAGCTTGTTATATGTAGGGCTGGCTGGCAAGAAAAATTTTCAGCACTTCTTTTTTGATGAAAAAGGTTATTTCAAATGGGAATGAAGATTTTCTGATTTTGAATGTATTGAAATTTCCTGACAGTGTCCATGAAAAATCAGAAACTGAGCAATTTCGATATAAAGTTTCAGTTTTGTAAAACTGAACATTTTTACTGAAAGCATTTTGTACAAAAAAACCCCCCAAAACAAACAAACCCCAAACAAACACACAAGAATGAGAGTCGCTTACTGTTTAAAAGATGGCTTAGTCTAAGTGCTCTAAAATCCATGTGCCAACTCAGAGTGTCTCAAAACGTGCTGGGCTTCATGTGGGCATAAGGTAGAGGAAGTGCTCCAAATTTGGGGTTATTTGAGCCAGGTGTTTGTGAGGTATAGCCCCCTAAAAAGCACATGTACAAAAATCGCCTGGTGTGAGGGAGGTATTGTTCAAAGAGGGCACAGTTAAGGCTGTGTTGCAGGGGTGAAACGATGTGCTAGGAGTTTTGGGCTGACTCAAGACAGACAAATCCCAGCTCAGACCCTGTCCCTGGGCAGCCCCTGCTTGAGCACCCTCCAGCCCCACAGCAGACATGCCTGCCTTAGCTCCTCTTTGATTCTCCTCTCTAAGGAACATTGTCTCTCAGTAGGAAATTCAAACCCTTTTTATTCATGGGAAGTACCACAGCCTGCAGATCCCTCATAGGAAAACAGTTCCTCCCCAAAACAAAGTGACAAGGCAGCAGCTCCTCAATCCCATTCAAAGGTCACTTTTCCCAGGTCACCCACCTTACAGTCGTTAATCACTCTGTCCCCGTTCCTTTAGCCCCTGTTCCAGGGCCCCACTCTCCAGGGCATCCACCTGAGAGTTCCCAGACTTGCTTCTCTCCCACAAGTCTTCTCCTGTAGTCCCGAATCAGGTCTCCCATGAGAGGGCTCCCTGCAATATTTCATTCCCCCAGGCCTCCTCCCCTTTGATTGCTACCCCCTGCTCAGGGGAACCTCCCACAACCCTGCACTCAGGTCTTCTGCCAGAGGGTTCCTTGCAGTGTTTATACTCCCCAGATCTCCAAACCTGACAATCCTCCTACCCCTGCTCGTGGGTCTCTCCCTCTGGAGTCAACCCCTTGCTTCTGGGTCTGCCTTACACTGACCATGCAGGTTCTTCCGCTCATTCCTAGGGGACCTGCACAAGCTTCCCTACCATCTGGCAGGGTTCCCCAGCTCTATCCAGGCCTCCTTGCAGGTTTCCTCAGATGTCAGCAGCAGCTCACGTTTCCCTAGATTCATAGATTCTAAGGGAGGATTGTAATCATCTAAGTCTGACTTCCTGCGTAGCCCAGGCCAGAGCACTGCCCCCAAATCGTTCCTAGAGCAGATCTGTTAGAAAAACAGCCACTCTTGATTTTCAGCGATGGAGACCATGACTCTTGGTAGATTGCTAATTAAAAACATACACGTTATTTCCTGTCTAATTTGTCTGGCTTTCAGCTTCCAGCCCTTGGATTGTATTGGACCTATCTCTGAAAGACTGAAGAGCCCATTATTAAATATTTATTCCCCAGGCAGGTACTTAGGACGGTAATCAAGTCACTCCTTAGCCTTCTCTTTGTTAAGCTAAATACGTTGAGCTCCTTGCGTGTGTCACTCTAAGGCAGGTTTTCTAGTCCTTTAATCTTTCTCATGGCTCTTCTCTGAACCTTCTCCAATTTATCAAAATTCTTCTTGAATTGTGGGTACCAGAACTGGACAGTAACTCACCACGTACAACTTCCCTTCAGCGCTTTCCCTCAGGCAATTTGCCAATTCAACCAGGCACGTAAGCATATGCCTAACTGTAAGGATGTGAATAGTACCATCGGTGCTTAAAGTCAGGCATTGAGTACCTTGTGAATGGGGCTTCAGTGACAGCCTGTCCCAAAAAGCCCCTTGAAATCCATGAAAAGACTCTCCCTGGATTCAAGTGGGCTTTCTGCTAAGAAACAGGAGTCAAATTCAATACTTCCAACACATTTTCCTCCTGTAAAACAGACTTTATTTTTCTTTCCATAAATCTTGTGCAATATACATCTATATCTCTATAGAATCCACCTCATTAAAAGGTCGCCCCCATACATTATAGTACTTTTATGAAAAATCCAAACAAAGCCCCCTCCCCCGCGCCTTAAATGAACATTTCCCCTCCCCCACCCGCCCCTTCCTAGCTGGCCAATTCATAAGAGGAAGTTTCATTATTTTCTAAGGTTTTTTTTTTTCCTTTAAAAAAATAGAAATTACAATCTTACAAGATTCAGAGTAGCAGCCGTGTTAGTCTGTATTCGCAAAAAGAAAAGGAGGACTTGTGGCACCTTAGAGACTAACAAATTTATTTGAGCATAAGCCTTCGTGAGCTAAAGCTCACTTCATCGGATGCATCTTACAAGACAGGACATTCAATGAGAACAGAAGTGTTTTCCTAAGTCTAAAAAGTAAAACATTTCCATAAAACCTGTCTGTACCTACAGGTGGTGGTGGTGGGGGTGTGTGTGTTGTGTTAGATGGAAAAATGCTTTGCATTTCTTCCTTTCATTCATATAGATAAAAAATAACATAAAACTGACTGCAATGTTCTATATTTTCTCTTTTGCACCAACATTCACAAGAATATATATTAGCCGTTTCTTCTTTTTATACACAGTGTGAGGGGTCTAGAGGTGGAAAAACACACTCAGCTAAATGTTCATATAAAACAATATATTAGATCTTTATCTGGGAAATAGTGAGCTCTCACTTTTTGTTTGGTTCCACAATTCAACTTTTTTTTTTTTTTTAAATAAAAAAGGAAAGCAAATGAAAGAAACTCATCCGACTATCTAAAGCCTGCTCAGCCTGGAGCTATGAGTCAGAGATATTTGGTGTGAAATTTTCGAAAGCACCTGACTTAGGCTCTTAAGAGTCATTGGCCAAAATGACGTGGAAGCCTAAGACTCATTGAAAGTTAGAGGCTCCTAAGTACCCAAGTTTCTTTTGAAAACAGCACTTAGGTTCCTAAGCCCCCATTCTCAAAGGGATGTAGACGCCTGACTTCCACCAAAATCTGTAGTATTCAGACCAAGAGCCTCAAAGGTGTTTAAGTGCCTAAGTCACATAGGCACTTTTGAAAATGTTACCTGTGATCTTACCTTTATATTGCTTGGTGTGTGTGTATGTGCATGTATCCACCAGGTCTGATTCCCACTTACACTGAGCCTCATTTAATCCACTCTGACAGCATAAAGGGGCCTTAAACTGTGTGTAATTGCACTTTAAGTCCACTTCATATTGCCAGAGTGGTGTAAAAAGGCCTTAATCTCATTTACACTAAGGCCCACCATGTATACTGGCATATAAACTGAGAAATGTATGTATACCCCATTGGTGCAGCATATGTTACAGGCCTTGCCTCTAATCTCTTACCCACATAAGTGGATAAGAGCCATTATTGCTACCAGCCTGTGGAGTTACTCCTTTAGCTCAAGCAATAGAGGTCCCTACTTTCAGCCCTGCAAGTCCCAGTTTCCTTCCCATATGGGGGAAGGGGCACATTCATTACATTTGTTAGAATGCCAAGACATTAATTTGCGAGGCAGGTGGGTGAAACACTCCTATGCCACTCTAGTACGGTGATTATGATAACCCAGTGACTGAACCTGGGGCCCGATCCCGCAAGGTGCAGAGCACCGTCAAGTGGCATACAAGTCAGTGGGAGATGAGGGTGCTCAGCAGCTAGGTGTATCAGGTCCCACCGGCAAAACTATCCTTGACTACACTGGGAATAACATTGAACAGAAAGGGCAAAGGTGAGAGAAGCAGAGGGAAAGGTGTATAAGGTTCGGAAAGCTTGGGTGGGGGGGTGGAAGTAGACAGTGCAGCCAGAACAAGAGTATAGGGAAACTGGCCTACGTGGGACACTGAGCTTTGCAGTGCTAAATTAGGGGGTGATTTATACAAGGGGTTAGCTTATATGCAAGTATATACGGTACACATGTAGGTGGAGATTTGCAATAGCGCCTAGAGGAGTTAGATGTCCAACTCCCATTCATTTCAACATGCCTAAATCCCCTAGGTGGCTTTGAAGATCTCAGCTGTAACAGGTTGTTTAAAATAATCACGCATGCCCTACTCTCGTTCAGCTGTTGGAGGTTGATGTCACTTGTGAAAAGGGCCAAAACTCTATGAGTTTTGACAAACTGGTTTATGTATTAAAAAAAAAAAAAATTCATTTCACCAACAATTCAGTGCCTTGAAAAAGAAAAAAGTCCTGCTTCCTGCACGTTGGCAGGTTGGGTTACAATGTCTTATGCTTCCAGTCTCTTGCTTAAATTTCCCTGTGGGCTTTTATTGCTCAGAATCCAAAATGTCTCCCCCTTTGACATACGCTGTGTCGCAAGCAGGGAAATTGCCATTTCAGCGGCGAGGGCTCAGTCTTTCCGGATTTAAGGTGCTCTCTTGGCCTCTTCGCTGATGAAATGAAAATGGCGACTTTCAACCTAGTGCACATTGTCCGGAGAACATCAAAGACACAAGGGGGGAGGGGGTTGTGCCTTTTTTTTCAAACATTTCGGAACAGCTGTGGCTATTGCCTTTAAGAAAGGGACTTCTGTCCTCTCGCAGAAACTGACAAAACCTCTTTAACAAAGCACCTCGCTCTGCTCGCCCCCTAAGGTCTGCCTTCCATCAAGGAAGATAGCCGATAAGCAACTGGTGCTGTGGGAAATGAGTTTTAAAAAGGCACAACCCGATGTATGAAAAAGGCAATACTGACTTTTCAAGTCCACAAAGCTCTGGGATCGGAGGGTATAGCAAAAAAAGGAATATTACGTCCCCACCCCGGCTAACACTGCCTTGGAGAACAATATATGGCACTCGATACTGCAAGGGGCTACTGGGAAAGCCAGCAGCCTTCTTCTGAAAGATGAGTGAATTTGGGAACATGCCATCAGTGGAGAAAAATGCCATGATAATAAACGGAGGTGGAGAATTCTGATATGCCCCACAAAAGACATCTAACAGTGGTTAACAAGAAAAGAAATAATGCTCAGCTTTATTTTGTGTATGGTGACTTTAAGGGAAAATAAAGCCCCAAGTTCTGACTCCATTTTTACTCCACCTTTAGTCCGGCAGAGTTTCCACTGACTCCATGGGGAGGTTTGCCTGAATAAGTGCCAAGCATGTTCCTCTCCAGGAGCTGGGCCACACGCAGAAGAAAAACCAGTGACTAGTGCTCGCTAATGGAATTACTTGCTCACCTCAGGAGATGGAGCGGGCTGGACTATAGATATGAAGATAGTAGGTTCAAACCTTCCTGGTGACTTATAGGATGGGGGAGGTTAATTACGTAAGGAATAAGTACGAAAAAGGGCAAGGAGTTGGAACTTTGATTATTTATCAGTAGGAACCACTGTTCCTCTGGCAACCAGGTTTTCTCCTCGTACGATTTGGCATTGACAACAATGGGAGCAGGAGCAGGAACTAAAAAATAATCCACAGCAGGTGACTGTTTAATCTCTCCCGCAGTATAACCAACCTCTGGGCTGTGCGTGGAAGGAGACGGTATCCCTCCACCCAAATGATTGCACAAGTATAGTCCCTCTTCTTTTTCCTCAGAGGCATCACCTTCTTCCAAAACTGCAACTCTGGGGAGGGGAAGATGCTAGAGGGGGGAATAATAACCTCTGCCCCCATCCCCGCCTGGTAACTTTGCTGTTACTAAAAAGATCCACTGAGAGAGAACCCTGCTTTCTGTTCAACTCAGAGAGCGAATCCTAAAAGCTAGGATCCGAAAAGCTAAAAGCTCCTGAAAAATGGGGTCAAGGATGATTCAACCTCCAGGAACAGAGCAGGCAGAGCCACCGCTCACTGCTTTTTCCTAATCCTGTTACACTTGGCAGGTACTGCGCTGTGTAGCGTATGTTGCCTGGAGAACGAGAACATTAACCGCCCTTACAGGGAGGTACAAGGCTTTGTGTGGGAACCAGCACCGAAGGAGGCCCGGGATGCCTTGGTAACACTGCTTTCCCAGCTGAGTGGGTTGCACTGAGTGGGTTACACCTCTGGGAGAAGAAGGCTTAACATGGCAGCGCTGGATGCAGTTAGGGAGAAGAAAAAGTCACCGGACGTGATCTGAGACGGGGAATTTCATGGGAGAGCGTTAAAAGGGGACTCTATACAAATAAATAAATACAGCAGCCGTGGCTGGAACGAATGACTGCTTACAATGCCAACAGTAAGTGTGGTGCTTGGCACCCCAAAGCACAGACGCTATGTACACACAGCACCTCTAAAATGCAGCTGCCTCTGGGAAGGACAACGCACAGCAGCACTGTACAGGAGCCGGAGAGCGGTATTTGGCCACAGGTCGAGCGGCAAACCCCTTCTCTTAGAGAAAGTGCCCGGGATTGTACAGGGCAGAGAGGGACTTCCCTGAAAGTCTCACATGTATGGCATTCGGAGGGGTGAGAGGAACAGCTGACCCTGCATTCAAACCACTGATCACAGGGAGTCCACCCCTGTGCAGACCCCACTAAAGCATCCCTTCTGGTTAGGTTTGGACACTTACCCTGCTAGATTCTTCAGAAGGGGATACGACGTTGAATTTCTACTTCCCTGTTTTCCACAGAGCGGCCCAGTCATTACAGGCCTGGTTCTGTTCCCCTTCTCCTTGGGTAGTCATTAACCCCAGGGCACATTAAAAGTAAGATGCTATTTTTGTCTTCTTTTCCCCCACGCTTCAGTCCAATTCAACTCCGGACTTTATTTCTCTTCCCAACCCCTGCCTGTTTTTGGTGAGCCACCTATCCCACCAAGTCTGTATTGCCCCTTTTTCATTCCATCTTTCTGGTGTTTATTTCATTTAAAACGAACAAATACATATGAAACAAGAGGAGAACAAGGGCTGGTCCTGGGATGAGTGCTGGCGGCTGGGCTCCTTTGCTGTATTGCATGAGCGTGTGTGTGCCCCATGGTGGTTCATGCATTAAGGAAAGGTATTGATACGGTACTGGAGTGTCTCCTCGAGGGAGTGGAGATTTCACATTCATTTCACCGGTATGGCAAAGTCAGTTCACTTGTCCTTCAAGGTGCATTACATTCAAGAGCTATTGCAAACCACAGTGAGGAGGTGGGGCAGAGGGGCAGATCACCTCACCCCGTAGGGTCTCTCGGGTTTGGTTATTTGAGTTAAATGAACCTCCTCATGGCCCCCAATGTTTCTGTTCCTCTCCAGGCTTTGGGAAATGAAACAGGGTCTGGCGGCTCCAAGCCTTAGCTCTCTCGCGGGTCGCTGTACTGGAGTTCCGAGTTGAATACTTCCTTGTACAGGGGCGGAAAGTTCATGGCTGTCTCCGGATGCAGGATCCGGAAAAACTCCAACTTGTCCAAGTGCAGGTTGCAGATGGTTTTCATCAAGGGCAGCTTGGAAATCAACTACAGAGGAGAGAAGCAGGGGAAGGAAGTGAGACTTGGGCTTGCGATCAGCATTGCTGTGCACCAGTCACGCCCAAGCTTTGCGGTCACTGGATGGGGCTTCGCTAGCCGTGGCGTGGTGTCATGACAGTGATGCGGCGACAGCGGTGTGAAACCCTGAAGATGGCGTGCTGCGTCTGGGTGACTGCCCCTGGGAATGGACCAGGACTGAGAGGCACCAGGTCAAGCCCCGTTTTGAACTGGTGCAATGCATCTATCCTAGGGGCTTGCTGTTTTCAGGGGGAAATGATTTGGCTCCCCCTGGATAACCATGCCTGGGAGAATAAAGGGAGCAGCTGGGCTGGTTTTCAACACCCTGAAAATTCAAGGCTGAGGTTTCCCCCTCTTGCTCACTGTCGCACCTGCCCAATGGTACCATAATCCCTCGATCCTGAGAGTAACAAACGAGCCTTTGCGCTACAGAGGGCTGATACATAAACCTCACCCACACCTGGTACTCGAACCGTAACCCCTCCGTTCTTAACACACAGGCCTCTTGCACTTGAGTGAGAGGAGAACTTCCTTGGCTGGTCCCTGCAGCAGGTTCCACTATAATTAAGCAACAAAGCTCATCCCAGGCTGTGGGAGAAGAACTCTGTGGTGATGCTCTGCCCCCTCCCAGCCCAGGCTGTATGTCATGCCAGAATAAAGCCTCGATGAAGCACCGTTAGCCCTTTCACTCTATGCTAGAGGCCTTGTGCTATGCAGGAAGTCAGGTTAGAAGATTCTAATGGCCTTAACATTTATGGAGTGAGACCTATTCCCGTAGGACCTAGTGAATCCAGCCAATGCAGGAGGATCCCTACGGTCTATCCATGAGGGGCTTTGTCCAGTTTAGTTGTAAATGTCCCCAGGAATAAGGCTACCCTCCCACACTGAGAGCCAATCCCACAATACAATGGTCCTGGGTATCAGGACCATTTTCCCTTGACGTTCAGCCCTTGTTTTTCCTTAGTGCAATTCCACCCCTGTTCTGCCTGGCTGCTCCCAGTCAGCTCCATTACCTTCGAGAGCTTATCCTCGCTGGAGTGTTTCTTCTGGATCTCGTGCTGCAGGGCTATGTAGATCTTGTCCTGGAGCTTCTGCACCTTCTTGGATTCTGTGAGCCAAGGGCGATCTGCGAATCGATAGCCAAAGCTCACGTCAGCCCTGGGAAATGGATCTGAATCCTGCATAGCATGGCAATGCTGCGGGGGAGGGGGTATTTCCTTAACTGATTTTCCGGCCCTTCGTATGCAGGGAGCTACAGGTCAACGCTTTGCTTTGTGATAATTTGCCACCCCCAGTGATGTGTCTTGGCTGGAGAGGGCTCCAAATTCCAGAGCCGGATCTGGTGGGAAGTGGAGAAAAGGGGTTGCAGAGGGGGGGGTGGGGGGGATGGGACGCTCAGTACAGCATTTAAGGTTACAAGGATTTTCCACTGGGACGTTGGTCTGACATGCTGCCTCTGTTGGTGGCGAATGTCTGATGCTTGAGAACAGTTTAGCCCCCACTAGTGCCCAATTGTGTACAGGGGCAGTTCTTTCCTGACCCCAGCCGCCATTAGTTTTACACCCTGACGCATGAGAGTTAATTACCCTTGTATACCAGGCTTTGAGGCTTGAAAGAGGAGAGCAAAGTTGGAGAAGGTCAGGATTTTGGAGTGGGATTTCTGTTTAGTACAAGCCTCTTCAACTAAAGGGCTCAGTCCCTCCAGCAAAGAGCTGAATGATATGCAACATGCAAGCAACTTCCGAAGCAACTGCTTTGCCCCTTGAGGGCAACCTCTGCTACCCCTAAAAGCAGCAGAAGCTCACGCTTCAGTCTTGCTCTCCCTGGGGAGTTTTGCCATGGACTCCATCAGCAGCCAGCTCAGCTCCATGCGCTTAATTTGTTCCACCTGACAATGATCTAGTGGGTCTTCAATTTCTTTAATAAGGTTTCGGGTTAACTCTCCCCAGAATCACAGCCAAAACCCTCTTTCCTGGAGCTCGTGGCTCTGCGAGCTCCTTGAATGGAGAACAGACATTGCCATTCGCCTGTCCCCCTCTGCACCTACCTGGAGCGAGCAGGACGGCTGCAGTGAACAGCGCAATCTCCTCGTCCGAGAGCTGTAGCCGGCACAGGTTCCTCCCCAGCTCAAAGACAGCATTGATAAGGTCGTCGCAGCCTAAAGAGAAGACATGGGAATGAGAAGCACATTACGTGCCAGTGCCACAGACCCCTTCACTGCAAGAAATTTGCCTCTGTCCACACAGGGCAACTCCTGCTCACAATGACAGCCAAGTCTCCGGGCTCCTCTCCTGAAGCAGGAGGGGGAAGGGAGTCACTTAGAAGATTCCCGGAGACTAAGCAGGCAAATGGGGAGGAACCCAGCCGGTCTCCAGTAAAAGAATCCCTTCATCACAAGCCAAAGGCACTGGGGTGAATGCCACCTCCACATGGCTGGAGCTCATACCCCAGGCCATCCTCTTTGTTAGTAGAAATAAGACAAGAAGCGTTCTTCCCCATGCAAGCCGCAAATGCCCTTCTGACAGCAGCCCAAGCAGCCGGCGAGCTTCCATCCAAGTTCTGGCCCAGCCTAGCTCAGGAAAGCCAGGAAGAGCTCAGCCCCACATAGGACACGTCTTCGGCAGGACTAGCTCTTCTGAGAATTCAGCCTTTCAAAACCCACCCACCCCTCCACCAGGCGTGCAAGAAGCGCACAGCACCCTGCAGGGCCACTGAGACCAGCATGGGAAAAGCGCCCCCTAGTGGGCCCCAGTGCCACTTTCTGGAGCACCCTGGAGGTCTCCCCCTCTCCCCCTGGGGATTATAGCCCAAAGATGTACGGCTGCAGGCTTTCTGCACCATTGCCCAGGACAGCTCATAATCTGCCTCCCCGCTCCTATTTGCTATGACCCTGTGAATTCCCCCAAGTTAAGCAGGTGCAGGCTAGATCAGTAGCTGGCGGGGAGACCTGCAAGGACACTGAATGGCTGGTGCTCCAGAAAGTGATATTGCCCCATTTGCTCCAGTACAGAACTAGCAGCCCAGGGGGACGCTGTGCTCTACTTTGAATGAGTCTAACTCCGCGGGCCTGCCTAGCACTAGTTGTTTAACGATCCCCTGGCCCTTTTTGCAAGAATTGGGGTATCAATGCTGACTTGGCCGAAGTCCAACGTTAGTAATTTTGCTCGGCCTCCCTAACCTCTCCTGTGGGTTCAGGCAGAGCCAGCGCTGTTCACTGCCTGCTCTAAGATGTTGTGTAGCGTTGCTGGGGGTTGTTCTACCTCAGAGGGAGTGGCACTGCAGTGGTGGGTTAAATAATCCCTAGATATCTGAACCTCGTAAGGGTGTCTAAGGGATCAGAGAACTAGGGCCCGATCTGTCATTGCCCTACATCAGATCAGAACGGTAGCATTTTAAACCCCCTCTCCACGGGTATAACTGACCATCCAGGCTGGGGTTTGCATAGACACATAAGGGAGCTCGATGTCCAACTCCCAGTAACTGAACTCCCCGATGCATCTTCAAAAATCCCAGCCAGAGTGTGCAGGGGAATGGGGAATCAGGCCTGGCTGTCTGCAAAGTACTTGGAGATCCACAGATGGAAGATGCTAGAGGACGACTTTGAGCAGGGGGTTGGACTAGATGACCTCCTGAGGTCTCTTCCAACCCTCATCTTCTAGGATTCTATGACTGCAAAAGAGCTTGTTTCATTTGCTCTTGGGACTTTGCAGGTAGGTGCGGAGCCACAAACTGAACATTACGGGGCACGTGAGAGAGAAGCGGCAGGTGAACGTGAAGTAACCAATGTTGTGGTTCATCTCCAACCTCCCCGCCAGTAAAGATTGGGAGAGAAGGGGAAGATCCCAGGAAGCAGACATGACCTAGGGGCAGTACAGAAGCAGTTACCATGGGTGAGAGGACTCAGGGCTCTTTGGGTTGTGCCTTCTCCTTCTGCCCCATCCGTCGGACCAGGTGCTGCCCAGGAGCCATGCTGCTGCTGACGTCAGTGGGAGATCCTGGGGGTGAGTCAAGGCCAAAGTGTGGCCCATGGGCAATATTTCCCCTTAACTGTGTTTAGTGCACCGAGCTGTCAGCCCTGGAGGACAAAGGGCTCCTTCCCCAGCACGCTGCAGCATAGGCAGCAGCAGATGGATTTTTCCGGACACTGCTCCACTGATGTACCTGAAGGGACTGCCTCTCAGGGCTGCGGGGTTTGGCCTCTGCCACCTGTTTGTGAGATTGCCAACAAGGGAAGCCAGCATGGCTCCCGACCCTGCAATTGCATATGCCCAGGCAGAAGCCCTGCACCGCTGCCAATGCCCATTGAAATCACTACACTTTGTTAGCACACGTCCACTAGGACCCAGACTGAGACCCATCAGTTTGTGGCACAAAGAACAACCAGCCATTAGCTGGAGGCACCCAATCTAGGCTGGGGTCAGAATACAGCCTAGAGCCCATTAGCCATTGTCCCATATGCTAGCCAGTCTCTGAGAATATATACCATGGGATTCTGCAAGAAGAAGCACTAGACAGTTATGGGGAGACAGGAGGACAAGACTCAGTGACTTGCATTGTGTTCCTAAATCCCCTAGGTGCTTCTGATGCTCTCCCCCTTACGCCTTGCCATGAAGTTAATGCAGTGACTGAGACCCTTCCTGTAGGATTCACTGCTGGGTGTTCACCATAAGAAGCTTTAAAGAAGAGTCATAAATCCACCCCCATCACCCCGTGAGGACAAAAGCAAACAAACCAGCTCTTACCAAGCGACTTGAATATCTGCATGCCACCGTATTTCCCCTCGAAGAGCACCGTGTTATTTAAAGGGTTGAATGCCCGAATCATTCGGATCAGAAGCACTTCCAGGCAACCTAATGCAGGCAGAAAGATAACAGACCATGAGGAGGACGAGGGAAAGGAGGAGGGTAAGGGAGCATTTCCGTCATCCAAGGACAAAAAAAAAAAAGAAAAAAAAATCCAGACCAACAACCCCACCATCCGCAATTCAAGTGTAAATTCCAAATGATTTTTTAAAAAGAGTTTAAAAAATCCCAATTTTGTTTTTTTAAAGAGCAATTTGTGACCATGATATTTCAACAAAGGGAAATATGACCTAGTCGGTTAGCAACGGAAAGCACAGAGATCAAATGGTCAATGTAATGGTGGATTACAAAGAAAGGAGAAGGTAAAAAACAATTTAAAAAATGGAAGGAAGAAATGAAGAGGTTGGTTAGATTCCATGCACTAAGACATATAAACTAGGCAGCATTTGGTTTTAAGTGAAGCAACCTGCATGGAACTTGGAGGGAGAAGCATGGGTTGCAGGAGGGAAGACATTGGTGGAGGAACCAATGCAGGTTGCTATATAAACAGATGTAGCCAGGAGGTGCCCAGTTATCTGTATTATCTCTCTCAGCCATGCGCAGCGGCAGGGTGGACGTGGGGTGTGACGGCAGTGTGCAGTACTAGATAGTGTGGCCGTGCTCTAGGAAGTTGGGTTCCTGTGGGATGACTAACCCAAGATTGCACAGCTTGCAGGTAGCCTGCACTGAAGACATGGCCTGATTCTCCATCACGCCTCCATCACCTTGTGTGGTGGTTTATATTTGGGCAAAATGGACGGATGCTTTTCCCTGGTGTAAATGGCAGTGCAATTGAGAATCAGACCCGGGGGAGCTTAACACCAAATTTTGGCTCCCCAATCCCACAGTCTGATCTGCTAGCATGGACCTGACTGTAGGATCGGGGCCTTCATGTGTGAAAATCTACCAGGAAGGGAGTGTCGGAGACCGTACACGTGGTGCGAGCTCTCAATGGTAAATGACCATCAGTACGCAATCAGAAAGCACACTGGATTGGCTGCAGGCCCCAGGGTCAGAGGCTCCTCCTTCACCTTTCCTCCTCAGTAGCAAAAGTGCACAGATGTTCCTGTACTTCTGCTATAGTTTATAAATGGCAGTGAAAGCAGGGTTTGCATTTTAAGCCAGTCCCGATGTGCTGGGATTGCACCAGCGCTTGATGCAAACAAAAAACTAATTTGGGACTTCAGAGTGGAACACAAAAGTGAAATCGATTAATCTGTTCCCCCCGCCCCAAGAGCAGAATATAGCACAGAAAGCCAGTGAGTACCATCCACTCTCTTAAGTGCACCAAGGGGTTGTTAGAAACCTAGGGGATTTGTTTCTCTGTTTGCTGGTTCTTAAAAAGAACAACTTTTAACCTGGCACTTTCCCGGTAAGATTCACTGCCCTTGAAACAAAACAACAACAAAACAATGGACAGCTGGATGTAAGCTAGCATCCAGCCATAAGGAAGCGCCCCCACCAATTCAAATCGGCTGCTAAGAATCCATCAACAGTTTTTGTGTGCCACATGGGACCTGTAACATTGGCTGAATGAACAACTGCAGCTTCCTCATTTGGACCTGATCCCATTCGAGTCAATGGCAAAACTCTCCTTGACTTCAGTGGGTGCAGGACTTTCCTTCAAGGGAGTGACCTTGCTGATGCAATGCAGACCAGGGCCAGCTTTGTGATCTGAGAACCTGAAGGCTTGGAGACAATCACTGTGGCACTTTTGCTACTTGGACCTCTGCCTCTTTGGGGCAGGACAACATCTTGCACAGGGGGACCCGATCTGTGAGTGGGGCTCGAAGGCCCTCCTGCCACCCACATCAGAAATAATAATAATAAAAGTGGTTTCTCGGCTTGGCTCTGGCTGCTGGGATATTTCTAGAGGGGAGAAGGTCAGAGCAGTCGCTTTAGAGTTCAGAGCGGACCAGTAGTTGTAGTAATGGGAAATTTGACCCACCAGCGTGGGGTTAGTGTCTGAGCCGGTCAGGAAAGGAGTCTTAATTCCCAGGGAAACGTAGACAAGAACAAAGAATGTGTCATTTTCGCTGATATTTTTCTTCAAAAGTTTTCTGGGTGTTCAATTAAAAATTTCAGTAACATCCGACAATTCCTAGGGAAATTTCCACTTTGACGAAAAAGCCATTTTTTGTTCGCAACACCCCCTTCCGCCGTTGCAAAGGAAAAATTCCAACCAGCTTTAGTTAGTGCCTGAGAGCTGGAAGGTGAAACTGACTAGAAACCCAGGGCCTGATTCTTTAGTACTTCTGGACGGTTATTTACACCAGTGCCAAGTGCTGCCGGATCACAGTGGGATCATTTTATACCCGCTGTGCGCTGGCAAGAGAGAATCCGTGCTATGCAGGCCTAAAAGTGTATAAAGCAGCCAGCATTGTCACTACAACATTTATACAGTGCTGCAGATGTGTAGGGCACTGCTCAGACGTTCACTAAGTTACCCTCACAACACCCCTGGGAGGTAGGTATGGGAAACTGAGGCACAGAGATGGGACGCGATTTGCCCCATGAGTCATTGGCTGAATCAGTATTAGAACTCAGGTCCTTTCAGACTCTATGAGGGCAAAGATACCAAAGAGACGGATGCTGTGAGAACGAGCTAGATTCACAGGGGTTTTCAGAAGGGCTGAGGATCTTCAGCACCCACTGACACAGCTCGAGTTGGAGCACTGCTGAAGATCAGGGCCCTAGGAGGCAGAGATGGAAGAGACTTATCAGGTCTCATCCAGGATTATCGGGGCAGGATCGTTCCCTTCTGTCTATTCCTCGGTGGTCGTGGGGTGCGAGGGAGATCCCCAGGGGTTAAGAGGTTGGAGCTGGAAGCTGCAGTGAGACAAACCTGGTGCCCCCCAAGATCCCAACACCCCTGTACTTGTGGGGAATGGGAGGGCATTGAAAACCAGACCTGGATCCAAAATCTGCCACTTTCTCTGAGCTTCCTAATGAGCCAAAGCGAAACTCTGGATCTGAACCCCTCCAAACCTGGTGGGGCTGAACTCCAGACCTGGACATTAATAGTTAAGCCCATCTACATGCAGGACCTTTAATAAAGGTGGGCCTGGGAAGGGGGAAGCTTGGTGAGCAGGGGGGAATGTGCTTTCCCCTGACTCTGCTAATCCCGGAGCATTCCCAGCCTGGCACCCTGGGGCGCGTTACCTCTGGAGGTTAAGGACCATCAAGGCTGTGGCTCTATAAGATCCTTCACGTTTCCTGTTCTCTCTCCCTTACCCAGCACCACCAGCTTCTGGTTGTGATCAGGAAGAGGCCAGGCAGGAAGATGTGTCTCCAAGCTGCCCAGGCCACCAGGCTGACGGCAGAGAGGCTGCTCACGGCATGGCCCACTCTATGTGTGCGAGACACACCTCGGGGATACCTCCTTCTCTCCAGGAAGGGGAGGGTGCTGGGAGGTGCCCCTACTCCGTAGCTCCTCCCAAGCAGGAGAGCCAGTGAGGAGGCTCTTGAGCTGGGTGCCCCATGCTGTGAGATACCCCCTGGGCCTCCCACTATTACCAGTGGGATCTGAGGGACTCCCCCATTGGCTCTGGGCTCCAGCTCCTGCCAGTTCTTTGGATCCTCCTCCCCATCCACTCCACCGGCCCACAGTGGGAAGTGGGACCTGCATGCGTCATGGGGTGGGAGATTCGGAGGGGCAGCGGGGCTCAGTGTGTGCTAAGAAGATGAGCCATACCCACCTCAGCCCGGAGATAAGAGTGAGGAAGAAGGAGGGATGCAGATGGCAGGGGAAGGAGGAGGGTGGGGGTGAGTAAGAGGGAGAAGTGTTGGTGAGGGACAGAGAGAATGGAGGAAGGGAAAGGCAGAGCAGAGAAGGGAAGGAACGAGGAAGTGGCCCTGCGGACGCCCCCGTGTTGAAATCCCAGGCTGAGCCTCCAGAAGGTTGGACTAGAAGACCTCCTGAGGTCTCTTCCAACCCTAATCTTCTATGAGGCGCAGCACGGTGGGGAGAAGGCGGCTTTCAGCCATTCTTCAACGTGGGCTGCTCTGGGAATGGCCAGGATGTAAATCAGAGCAGCCCCAAGGGGCTCGAACGTACAGCAGCCTCTGGAGAGCAGCTTATGGGCTTCTCCATAGACCAGAGCAGCCCAGAGAGTCTCCATAGTGCCCTGTGCTAAATGGCCCTGAAGCCTCCCACACTGGCTCCACCCCCTCCCAACCTAGCCCCGCCCCCACGCAGCACTGAGGTTCCGATGGGGGCATGTGAGAGGACCTGTGCTTCCTGGGAACAAGGCCAGGGGCCAGACTGTCTATCAGTGCCTAGAAGTCTGGGGGGATTTTGCCACCCCAGCAGGGCGCAGGGAGGAACCTGTCTGCGCGGTGGGGTCCATCTCCCCGCTCTCTCACCTGCTTTGAGGAGGATGATCTGGTCGTTCTGGCAGAGCTCCATGAAGCCGTCGATGCGCTTGGCGAACTCCACCACGTACTGAATGGCGTTGGAGATCTGCAGGGAGCACTGCTGCCACATGGTCTCGCAGCTCTGCGAGCACAACGGGGGAGCATCAGGCACAGCCCGCTCCCTTCCATGCATCACCCCCGCCCAGGCCACAGGGGACCAAGCACGGGGGCTCCTTTTTGTACAGTGCCATCCTGCGGGGTGCGCTGCATGGGGTTCGGCACCCCGCCCCCCAGAATGCACACCTCCACCCGCAAATCTTCATGCATCTCCCTTCCCATGGTGTTCAACTCCCGCTGAAATCCAAGGCGTCCCTGGGCCATTTGCTCCATCCCAAGACAGAATCGAAGCGGGGGTGGGGAAAATAAGCAGTGGTTCTCTCCCAGGTGCCACTCACTAACTAAGCTCCGCCCACTGGTCACCAAAATGAGACTCCACTCGCAGTGGATCTTCATAATATGATGGATCTGCCTCTTTTTTGCTTTGATCAGCCATTTAAATTGGCCATCATTAAACTTCAGAGCGAACGACCCCTTGAAATAGACAGGGGCTTCATGGAGCCCTTAAAGGCAGTCTTTCACGCAGCCTGCAGACTCAAGCAGACATGGCTTCAGCCGTGACACTTGGTTCTGGGACATTACGTCTATTTCACAATATTAAGTGTAAAGGCATCTGGTTCCCTCCCCTCCGCAAAATGTTAGCTTGGATTTTGGAGCTCAAGGAGATAGCTTCCGGAAAGAGTCCTGCCTTGCTGTGACCCAATCTGGTTCATCCCTGTCTCCACTCTCCTGCCCCACTTGGTGATGGTCTGGAACGCCAGGGTACGTAGTCTGGGGATTCTGCCCCACCAACCCTAGGGCATGTGTACCCCCAGCCACAAATCTGTGCTCCTCCACCCGCAGATCCACGCCAGGGGGTTCTGCCCCTAACCGCAGGGCGTGCTCAGCCCCATGAGGCAGTGACAGCATCCTCATCACAGCCGATATCCCTTCCCCAACCCCATCCCCATCCCACTCCCGGGGCACCACGTATGATGCAGCTGGCACCATGATGAGCTCCCGTACGTGTGCCCTGACCCAGGAGAGATTAGTGCCGGGGATTGGGTATCTAGAGCAGCCTGTTGTGTGGGGCAGTGAGGCACGGACCCCGGGGACTGGTAGGAAGCAAGGGGAAGTTACCTTGTTCTGCAAGCTCCTGATCTCCTCCTGGGTGTACAGCATCCACGCTAGCGTCTTGAGCTCCTCCGTCGTGTACTGGCAGGTCTCCAGGTGGGACTTGACTACGTTCTGGGCGATGCGGTCTGCCGAAGCAAGCACAAAGCGCAGCTGAGACTCAGGGCCTGGGGGACAGGGCATTGCCTGCTACAGGGGCAGACAGGCTTCCTTGAAGACAGAGCAGCCCCAGGGCTCCTGGCGCGTTGCCAGCATGGCCTCTCAGCTATGGACGTGTTGTGATGAACTGTCACATGTCTATATGTGCCACTGCCTTCTCTTGGGTGGAGTCAGAACTGATCAAGCTGTGTGCCTTAGGCCCTATAGTGACAGCGGGGATTCTCCTTAGCTCAGGTGCAAGGAGCCTTGTGCTTTCAGAGCAGGAGGATCTGGGGTCTACCCTTCTACAAAGTTCTTAGCCGCCTGGGGTTTGTTACAGGATTTGTGTGTTGTGAGTGACTGGAATTCAGGCAGTTGGCTGACCGGGGGGTGCGGGCTGGACTGCAGCTTAGCAGGGTGTGGGGCATGTTCTGGGTCTCAAGAACACTACGAGCTGAGTTTGGGGGGACTATTTTCCTCCTGCCGCTGCTCAGTTCTGGTGGGAGTGGGAGAGGACAGTTCCTGCCACAGCTGCCCTATCCCCCCCAAGGGCTTTCCTGCCTCTTGGGAGGACAGGGAAAGGGGTTGAGGGGCTGCAGACCAGTCTTAGAGCTTCTTCTCCATCCTTGTAGCTGGGGCTGCACTAGTCCTGCATGGACACACACTCCCAGAGTGGGGCGCTTTAGGTGGCTGGGTGCCAGACTCACAGGGAGGGGACTGCAGGAGGCTCCAGGAGAGAGCAGGACCAGAGACTGGGAGTCCCCACTTTATCTTCCGCTATCAGCATGTAGCCCCCTGTTTAGGGCAGGCCCACATGACATGCTAGCCTACTACTGTTCCCCACTAGAAGAAATGCTCCTTTAGCTGAAGCAGTAGAGACCTGCGCTTTCAGTGCTGAAGGTCTGGGGGTCAGCCCTACCTATGGGTGGTTGCTCTGAGCCCTGCAAAATTCAGCTCATGCCTTCTCTTACGACTGGGGTTGCGGGGGGGGGGGGGGGGGTACTGACCGATCTCGAGCATCGAAATGTCCGAGGCGAGCTGGCTGCCCTCCAGGGTGCTGTGGGCAAAGAGGCCGGGCTCCAGCATCAGCTCGTAGATGGACTCCTGCTTGATGAGCTTGGCATCGCTCACGTCCACGCTGGACTGGTCGGGCGAGGGCTGGGCCGAGGTCAGGAGGTCAAGATTGTAGTAAGCGCTGCCTCCCTCGGGGGTGAGGGGGAAGTCGAAGAGGAGCCCGTCCGACAGCGGGGAGATGTCGTCCAGGTCCGAGACCCCGCTGCTCACGCTGGTGGGGTAGACCCGGGCCAGGGCCTCGGAGTCGTCCTTGGAGACGCCGTTCTGCTCCTGGCTCTGCTGGTGCTTTTGCACCTCGGCATACAAGCTGTCCCGCTGCTTCTTGGACATGCGGCCGAACTTCACCGCTGGGGAGAAGGAAGCAAGGCCAGTGGGCTTGGGCGAATGGATGGGGCCCAGTGGCCAATGAAGGGTTAACAACAACGCCACTTCCCCCAGGCAGGGGCCAAAGGAGTAGGAGGGGGGCAGGGCAATGCCCCTGAGGCTCCAGGGCTGGGGTGATTATTTTGGTTCATTCTGATGATGGGATTCTTCCCTCCTTTGGTAAGCAGCAGCGAGCAGAGCCCCCAGCTGGGATCAGGGCCCCCACCTTGGTAGGCGCTGAGCACACAGACTGGGGGACAGTCCCTGCTCTGACGAGACTTACCCCAGGTCCCTGGCACTGCCAGGGATCCAGGAGTCCTGGCTCACAGCCCTATTACTATTTCCCACTGAGTGGCCCAGCCCGCAACTCCCCGGTCCCCCAGGGGCCCCGCCGCCCCCCAGGCCTTGGGAGCAGACTCACCATCACGCGACATGCCCAGTGCCAGACATTTCTGTAGGCGGCAATGTTGGCACCGGTTCCGGTTGGTCCGGTCGATCAGGCAGTTCCTCTGGCGCGAGCAGGAGTAGCTGGCGTTATTCTGCTGGCTTCTCCGGAAGAAGCCCTGCGTGGGAAGGAGGACGGTTCAAAACTGGGGGAGGGGGCGGAGAATCCCCCACATGGTCTCCACCTGCCTGGGGAGTGACTGGAGGAGGGGGTCTTCCAAGGGTAGGGACGGAAAAGGCCCAGCGGGGGCACCTGGCCCAGCCCAAGCTCGTTCCTGGGGAGACGGTCTCTTGCGCTTTGTCCAGCCATGGCCCACGCAGAGGGAACCAGGGGCTGTCACAGAGTGCGGAGGGAGCAATGCCGGACCCAGGGAAGGGGCAAATGGGTGGGGGAGGGCACTAGGCCAGCAATGGTGCTGGTAGGATGGTGACCAGAGCCAGGGAGGTGCCATGAGATTTGTCCCCAAGCAGCTCAACCAGGGTATCCGGCTCCTGCCCGGCAATGCTCCTAGGCTGGGACCTTCAATGGGAGCTGGCGTCTAGCCGGCATACGCGCTTTTGGAAACCTCTGCCCCAGCACTGGGCGTGCAGACGGCTCATGCCAAAGAGGTGTGTAAACCAAGGCCACCATCCCCTGAATCACTGGGCTGAGAATGCCCAACTCATTACATTTGCTGAATGCCAGGGCCGGACATAACCCATCGCTTACCTTACAGCCTTCGCAGGTGATGACACCATAGTGAATCCCTGAAGACTTGTCTCCGCAGATCTTACATGGGATCACTTCAATTTGGGCTGCAGCAGGGAGGGGAACAAAACAGACAAGCCCAGGTCAGTTCACTGTGGCCTCTCTCTCTAGGGACCAGAGCAGTTAAGACACTTGGCCCCTGTGTGGAGACAGGGTCCTCACAGAGCTTTACAAACAGACATTGACGAAACCTTCTGGGAGGTGGGTAGCATCATCCCCATCTTGAGGGAAACTGAGGCACACAGCAGGGCTGTGACTTGCCCAAGGTCACCCAGCAGGCCAGTAATGGAGCTGGGAACAGAACCCAGGTCTGCCAACGCTGTGCTCTAGTCAGTAGATCCCACTGTCTACACCAGGGGTGGCCAACCTGGGGCTCCGGAGCCACACGCGGCTCTTCAGATGTTAATATGCGGCTCCTTGTCTAGGCACCGACTCTGGGGCTGGAGCTACAGGTGCCAACTTTCCAATGTGCTCAACCCCTGGCTCTGCCCCAGGCCCTGCCCCCACTCTCCCCCTTCCTACCCCGTCCCCTGAGCCTGCCGTGCCCTCGCTCCTCCCCCCAGAGCTGCCTGCACACCACAAAACAGCTGATCAGGAGATGCAGGGAGGAGGGGCAGGCGCAGATCAGCGGGGCTGCCGGTGGGCGGGAGGCACTGGGAGGTGGAGCTGATGGGGGGCTGCTGACGTGTTACTGTGGCTCTTTGGCAATGTCCATTGGTAAATTCTGGCTCCTTCTCAGGCTCAGGTTGGCCACCCCTGGTTTAAACCCTCCGAAATGATCCTCTTAAGAGTCCAGCCCTCCTGCTCCGCGCTCCTGGGAAACGAGCAACACCATCTACTCAGCTGAGCAAGCAGCCGCTCTCTTCCCAGCCTCACGCCAAGCACCGCAAGACCCCGCCTAGGCCCCGTTCCAAGTGGCCACAGAATCCCCTCCAGGTTTTCCTCTTCCTTATTCCTGATGGTGAGTGAGGAGGCTGAGGGACTCATTGACACTTGGCTTGATTCTGTACCTGTACTGGCCGCACTTATAGTCACGGGTGGATCTGAGCACTCAGAAGGAACGGATCTCTGCCTGCCTGGATCCCACACACCTGCCCTGGCTGGGTCTCTTTGCAGGAACTGAACCCTGGAACCTCTGGATCCAAAAGCCCATATTAAACATCCAGACCTGCTCCACCCCATAGTGGGAGACAAAGCCACGCACTGTGCTAGCTTGAGGTACACACCCAGGTGCTGTCTGTCTGTAGCACTTAAATGGCCACTTTTCTCCATCTTTTTTATGGCAGGCTGGCAGCCTTTCAAGTATTTGGAGACCTCTTAATTTCCTCTTTTCCAAACTAAACATACCCAGTTCCTTCAGCCTTTGCTCATATGGTTTGCGTTCCATCCCTTTGATCATCTTGGTCGTTCACCTCTGGATCCTCTCCCATTTCTCTATGTCCTTTCTATACCCTGCTGACCAAAACTGGACACTCTTCTCCAGCTGCGACCTAACCCGTGCCAAGTAGAGTGGTACTATCACCTCCCGTGGCTTGCATGCTCTGCCTCTGGTAATGCAACCTAAAATTGCATTTGCTTTTTTTGCAACAGCATCGCATGGCTGGCTCCGGTTGAGGTGGTGATCCACCCCAACTCCCAGGGCCTTGGGCAGCCCTTGCCCTCAACAGCATGGAAGTCTTGAGTGGTACAGATGGACAAGCATTACAGACTGTTGGGGCAGCATTCTCGGTAGCGGGGACTGCAGGGGATCCAGAACCTGGGTGACCTGCCTATGCAGGATATAATACAAGAGCAGAGGACGAATCAGTATAGTGAAGAGGGCTGCAATTCCCCACATGCTCAGGGGATGGCAGTGAAGTGCTGTTCCCAGCCATTAGGAGCTCTAGGGTGGATTACAGCTGGGTGGGCATGTGAGGGGAGAGGTCTCTTACAGCAAGGCAAAGACAAGGATTTCACAGCTCAGCTGCACAGAGACTCCCTGTCCCCTGACGCCCAACACCCACCCCTCCAGAGCCACATCTGCCTGTGCTGAAACTGGTTCCCCAACCCTCCCCATAGCTACCAGTTCCCGGCACAGGGCTGCCTTGCATGTCCCGGACACGGGGTAGCGTGCTAGGTGTGCCAGCAAGCCCTGGTGGTGCTTCAAACCCTAGGCCTCCTTATCCTGGCTGGGCCCCCATTGTGTGCACACGCAGCTAGCAGGGAAGGGTCTGGCAGGGGAGAAAGGGGCAGGTCCCAGAGGCCATGAGTGTAGTTAGTTGGAGGCACCCAGGGACTGGATATCATCAGTCAAAGGCAACAGAGAATGCAGCAGGGTGGCCCCGTGGAGCAGGAATTCCCACGTCCCCTGTAAGCGTCCCCAGTGTGGCAAGAGGGAGGGCTGGGCTGGGCTGGATCTAAAAGAGCTTGGCTTGTTTAGCCTAAGTAAAAGCAGGCCGAGGGGAGAGCTGATTGCTCTCTATAAATACATCAGAGGGATAAATACCACACAGGGAGAGGATTATTTAAGTTAAGCGCCAATGTGGACACAAGAATAAATGGAGATAAACTGGCCATCAACAAGTTTAGGCTCGAAATCACATGAAGGTTTCTAACCATCAGAGGAGTGAAGTCCTGGAACAGCCTTCCCAGGGGGCAGTGGGGGGAAAAAAACCCCTAACTGGCTTCAAGCGTGAGATTGATAAGTTTCTGGAGGGGATGGTCTGAAGGGACTGCCTACAATGGCGTGTGGCCCATCGGCGACGGCCAGTAGCAAAAATCCCCAACGGCTGGAGATGGGACACTAGACGGGGAGGGCTCTGAGTTACTGCAGATAATTCTCTCCCAGGTGTCTGCCTGGCAGGTCTTGCCCACATGCTCAGGGTTTAACCAATCGCCATATGTGGGGTTGGGAAGGAATTTCCCCCCAGGTCAGACTGGCAGAGACCCTGGGGGTTTTTCGCCTTCCTTTGCACCATGGGGACCCGGTCACTTGCAGGTTTAAACTAGTGTAAGTGGTGGATTCTCTGTAACTTGAAGTCATTTAACCATGATTTGAAGATGTCAGTAACTCAGCCAGAGGCTGGGAGTCTCTTCCAGGAGGTTCTATAGTCTGCAATGTGCAGGAGATCAGACTAGGTGATCATGATCGTCCCTCTGACCTACAGGGGAGCCTGGACTGAGGCTGCTGGACACAGACAGACCCTGTGGTCCTCTCTGCCTGTCCAGCTGGCAGCCTAGAGTCACTACACAGGGCAGCCCTAAGGCCCAGCCTGGATTTGGCAGCCACGGATTGGGATTGCTGACTGCACTGTCGTTCCGGGGGCACTGCCAGCGAGCCTGGTCCCCACCGTATGTCAAACTACCCCTTCAAGCCCTTTCTACCTGCAGCCCTTAGTGTCCTGGGGTGCCACCTGGTGTTTGTGGGGGTGGCGCCTTTCATGCCATCTCTGCTGGTTTGCTCGTCACGTGGGTAGAGCACTCGGACTCCAGTGACCTGGGTTCTAGCCCCAGCTCTGCTGCTGGGTGACCTTGGGCAAGCCATCTCCCCTCCTCCTGCCTCAGTTTCCTCATGTGCAAAATGGGGAGAATGATACTGCCCTCCTTGGTAAAGCGCTTTTAGATCTAGAGATGAGAAGTGCTATGCGGTATTTATTTGCACTACAGTAGCACCAGGGACCCTAGTCACAGACCAGGATTCCACCGTGCTAGGCGCTGTACAAACACAAGGAAAAGATGGTCCCTGCCCCAAAGAGCTTCTGGTTGAAATATAAGACAAGAGACAACACATTCAGACAGACAGACAGACGGGGAGCACAAGGAAACAATGAGCCAACAACAATGAGTCATCTCTGCAGCAGCTGGAGTCATTCGCATTTCCCTGGTGAGGTTACTGGCCTGCCCATCGGATGAGCATCGGGATGGGGACTGGTTGCAAAGGTGATGCCGAACAGGCCTGATTCTGCTTTGTACCTTCTGCGCTGATTTCCATGGCACTCTTCAGGATTGGGGCCCGCCGCAGTGGGGCTGCATGTCGACCCGCCAAGGCTTTGGTTGTGTGGTTTTAAAACCAAAAGCCCAGGCAGGAGGCGACACGAGGCAGGTATCAAGGCAGCCAGTCAGCAGACTGGCCCAGCTGGGCAGGCCCAGGGCACCACAATCATGACAATAATGGCTGGAGGGGTAGAGGCAGGGATCTGGCATGCAGGAGAGACACCTGGAACTCCCAGTGCCGGGGTCAGTGGGGCCCAGCTGTGTCTAGAATCATAGAATCATAGAGTATAAGGGTTGGAAGGGACCCCAGAAGGTCATCTAGTCCAACCCCCTGCTCGAAGCAGGACCAATTCCCAGTTAAATCATCCCAGCCAGGGCTTTGTCAAGCCTGACCTTAAAAACCTCTAAGGAAGGAGATTCTACCACCTCCCTAGGTAACGCATTCCAGTGTTTCACCACCCTCTTAGTGAAAAAGTTTTTCCTAATATCCAATCTAAACCTCCCCCACTGCAGCTTGAGACCATTACTCCTCGTTCTGTCATCTGCTACCACTGAGAACAGTCTAGAGCCATCCTCTTTGGAACCCCCTTTCAGGTAGTTGAAAGCAGCTATCAAATCCCCCCTCATTCTTCTCTTCTGCAGGCTAAACAATCCCAGCTCCCTCAGCCTCTCCTCATAACTCATGTGTTCCAGACCCCTAATCATTTTTGTTGCCCTTCGCTGGACTCTCTCCAATTTATCCACATCCTTCTTGAAGTGTGGGGCCCAAAACTGGACACAGTACTCCAGATGAGGCCTCACCAATGTCGAATAGAGGGGAACGATCACGTCCCTCGATCTGCTCGCTATGCCCCTACTTATACATCCCAAAATGCCATTGGCCTTCTTGGCAACAAGGGCACACTGCTGACTCATATCCAGCTTCTCGTCCACTGTCACCCCTAGGTCCTTTTCCGCAGAACTGCTGCCTAGCCATTCGGTCCCTAGTCTGTAGCTGTGCATTGGGTTCTTCCATCCTAAGTGCAGGACCCTGCACTTATCCTTATTGAACCTCATCAGATTTCTTTTGGCCCAA